CTGGTGTTGGCACAGCTGGACTGGTGTTGGCACAGCTGGGATGGTGTTGGCACAGCTGGGCTGGTACTGTCACAGCTGGGCCGGTGTTGGCACAGCTGGACTGGCAGTGTCACAGCTGGGCCGGTGTTGGCACAGCTGGGCTGGTGTTGGCACACCTGCACTGTCACTGTCCCAGCTGCGTTGTCACCCACTCCACACGGTCCCCGGGCTGTCCCCGGGCTGTCCCCAGGCTGTCACACCCCATGTCCCCAGGCTCCCCCCACGCTGTCCCCAAACTGCCCCACCCTGGCTGTCACCGCCCATGTCCCCAGGCTGTCCCCAGCTGACTGTCACACCCCCCACCCTGTCCCCAGGCTGTCCCCAGCTGGCTGTCACACCCCCATGTCCCCAGACTGTCACTCGCCCGTGTTCCCACGCTGTCCCCAGCCAGGCTGTCACTCCCTCATGTCCCCCAGGCTGTCCCTGTCCCAGCTACCTGTCGCATCCCCATGTCCCCAGGTGCCTGTCACACCCCCGTGTCCCCAGGCTGTCCCCAGTTGTCTGTCACACCCCCGTGTCCCCAGGCTGTCCCCAGGTGTCACTCCCCGTGTCCCCAGGCTGTCCCCAGGCTGTCCCCAGGCTGTCCCAGCTGTCACTCCCCGTGTCCCCAGGCTGTCCCCAGGCTGTCCCCAGGGGACTCACTGACGATTTTGTCGACAGAGTCGTGGTCGTCGAAGGTGACGAAGGCGAAGCCGCGCTTTTTGCCGCTGCCGCGGTCGGTCATGATCTCGATGACCTCGATCTTGCCGTACTGGCCGAAGTAGTCGCGCAGGTGATGCTCCTCCGTGTCCTCCTTGATGCCGCCCACGAAGATTTTCTTCACCGTCAGGTGCGCCCCGGGCCGCTGGGAGTCCTGCGACAACGGCGGGGGACAGCGGGAAAAGGGACAGGGGGAATGGGACAGGGGACAGCGGGAAAAGGGACAGCGGGAAAAGGGACAGGGGGAAAGGGACAGTGGACAAGGGACAGGGGACAGCGGGAATGGGACAGGGGACAGCAGGAATGGGAAAAGGGACAGGGGGAAAGGGACAGTGGACAAGGGACAGTGGACAAGGGACAGTTGAGCACCCTGTGCCACCACTGTGCCCGCTGTCACTGTCCCTGTGCCATCAACGGGACACACGGGGATCCTGTGCCCAGTGCCACTGTCCCCAGTGCCACTGTCCCCAGTGCCACTGTCCCCAGTGCCACCACCCACAGGGACACGCAGCCATGGCCGCTATCCCCAGTGTCATCAACAGGAAACACGGACACAGCCACTGTCCCTGTGCCCCTGTCCCCGGTGTCACTCTAGGAGCAGCAGGCACGGCCACCAGCACCTCTGTGCCCAGGTGCCACTGCCACGAGCTCTGGGCTCCCCCTTACCTTTCTGATCCCCTGTCCCTGGAGTCCCTGTCCCCCTCAGTGTCCCCAGGGTCCCCAGGGTCCCCTCACCTCTCGGGACACGGCCCGTTTAGGCTCCACCACTCTGCCATGTCCCCAGTGTCCCTCCCGTGTCCCCAGTGTCCCCAGGGTGTCCCCAGTGTCCCCAGGGTGTCCCCAGTGTCCCCAGTGTCCCCAGTGTCCCCAGGGTCCCCTCACCTCTCGGGACACGGCCCGTTTAGGCTCCACCACTCTGCCGTCCACCTTGTGTGGCCGCGCGTTCATGGCGGCGTCGACCTCCTCCACCGAGGAGTAGGTGACGAACCCGAACCCCCGCGAGCGCTTCGTGTTGGGGTCCCGCATCACCTGGGGACAGGGACACGGCAGGGACACAGGTGACACGGGCAGGGACACGGCAGGGACACGGTGACACGGGCAGGGACACGGTGACACGGGCAGGGACACGGTGACACGGGCAGGGACAGGTCAGGGAAACAGGGGACAGGGCAGGGTCCTGGACACAGGAACAAGGGTGGGGATTTTGGGGATCCCGGGGCAGCTTTTGGGGATGCCAAGGAGAGATTTGGTGTCCCAGGGCAGGGTTTGGTGTCCCAGGGACATTTTTTGGTGTCCCAGGGCAGGGTTTGGTGTCCCAGGGACATTTTTTGGCTCCCAGGGCAGGGTTTGGTGTGGCACGAACATTTTTTGGCTCCCAGGGCAGGGTTTTTGGTGTCCCAGGGACATTTTTTGGGGTCCCAGGGCAGGGTTTGGTGTCCCAGGGACATTTTTTGGGTCCCAGGGACATTTTTTGGGTCCCAGGGCAGGGATTTGTGTCCCAGGGACATTTTTTGGGGTCCCAGGCAGGTTTTGATGCCCCAGGGAGAGTTTTGGCCATCCCAGGTCAGTTTCTTGGCTCCTAGGGCAGTTTTTGGTGATCCCAAGGCAGTTTTTGGATCCCAGGCAGGGTTTGGTGACCCCAGGGAGGGTCGTGGGGTCCAGGGGTGGATTTTGGGGTCCCGGGGAGGGTGGTGGGGTCCCCCCTCACCACGCAGTCGGTGAGGGTGCCCCATTGCTCGAAGTGGCTGCGCAGGCTCTCGTCTGTGGTCTCGAAGCTCAGGCCGCCGATGAAAAGTTTCCGGAGCTGCTCCGGCTCCTTCGGGGACTGGGGATGGGGAATGGGGGGTCAGGGGGACCCCCTGGGCCCCCCAAAACCTCCTCACACGGCTCCGGGGGGG